TTTTTTTAAACATTATCTGCCAATTAAATCTGCCACCCTTCTCCAAATCTGTGCCCCTACCTGGCCCCCCCAACAAAAATTTTCTAGACACGCCACTGCAGCCATCATATGACTCTGTGTCATATGGGGGGGGCTAAGGTGTTCCTCTGTAGAGATGCTGAGAGGAGAACCGAATGATTTGGACCTAAGAGGCTGACCCCACACTTCACCCACATGCCCATCCTGAAGGCCACAAGAAGCATTTTCTCAAAGTTAATCTCACAGCAGCTCAATTCACTCTGACCACTACCTGTTGAACCTGAGCAGCAGGTCAGAGGTCAGAGGTTGCTCAGCAGAGGATGTAGAAGCACGAGTGTGATGTGTGCCTCAGGCTGAAGCAGCAGAAAACCTGAACATCTGTAATTACGAGCACACTGTTCTCTGCGAGTTGGTCAGCACCTGTGCCGACATGTTTGCTTCTCCAACATGAGGCTCCTCCCCTTTGTTTTTCTGTTCATTTTTATTAGTATTTACAAGTCTAAACCAGCAAACCCAACCAGAGCCCTGCTCCTAAACACCTGCCCCGTCACCGTGACTGCAGCGCTGGCACTTCACCACCAGGTGTGACTGTTTGGTCTCTGAAGGTTTCCTCTTACAGGTAACTCTTTAAATCTCACACCTCCACCATCTGATTGGATGCTGATGGATCCTCTGCTGGTGAAATCCTCGGCAGAGGGCGTGGCTTCAGAAGCTGCATTCACAGTCACCCGAAGTTCTGCAGAAGTGGAGTTTGAACAGTTTGAACTTTACGCACCTGCAGAAAGAATTTTACATGTTTTTAATGCTGAAACAAAGCTTTTATTCTGAAAATCTGAATCAGTTTTACCACTAAAGCACTCAGAGACACAAACGATGATAATCTGACAGATGAAACTATCGCTGTGAGAGGCGAACGCTGTCAGCACTCCAGCCCCAGCTGCAGGGGTGTGGATGCTGAACGCAGCCCTGAGCGTTGGCTGAGCAGACAGCTTTCTGACCTCTGGACTCTCCAGAAGCTTCGCAGAGGAACCGTCGACCGCTCTCTGCAGGTGCAAAGTGCTTCAGAGGTTCTGGAGACCGAAGCGTGCAGGAAACACCTCAGGGTCTGAAACAGGACCAGGATGTCTGCAGGAGGGGAAGCAGCTGATGTGGTGTACTGCCTGGCCCAGGAGCAGGACTTCCAGCAGGTCCCAACATTTTTCCATTAATAGTCACATGACTCTCTAAAGATCACAGGTCAGAGTGCGAGATGTGAACTCAGGCTGAATGCACAGGCTGAAGCCACTGATAGGACGACTGACCGCGGCTGCTCGAGCGGTTCTCTTCGCCTTTATGGCGTTTGCTCCATAAAACATATGAGGTGAAGGAGTGCACACCGCTGCAGCACGCCGCTGAACAGCTTTAAAAAACTTTGAACATCACATAATTTACTGCTGTGACTAACTAAAAAAACCTCATGGCCTCATTTCCTGTTTGCTTCGGCGCTTTGTCATTTCTCACAGGGACAAAGGACACACATGAATTGCAGGAGTCACAAGTTAGAATCGATACCTGAAGAAAATCTGAGCAGTTAAATAAAATCACAGTGATAAACTCTGAGCACCTCAGACAGACGACGCGTTCAGAGCTGATTTAAAGGTCTAAAGGGGTCTCCGTGGGGACAGACAGAGGCGTGGACCCTTTAGTTTCAGGCGAGGGAGGTTGCTGGGAGCAGCGAGGACCTCTGACCTGTGGTTAACCTGGGAGATGTCGTGGAGGTGATTGATGGAAGGCTTTAACAGCCAAACCTAAAATCAGTGCTGAGCGTCACGGACCCGTGTGTCGTCGTTTGCTCTGCGCCAATTAGAAGTTGTCTGTATTCTGACGTCTGTTTGAGGCGGAGTCAGGAACGCCCAGGTGTCCTCAGAGCGTCGTTCCTAACAGAGCCCGTGTTGTCCCGCAGGTCCTGAACATCTGCACGCCTGATGACTACAACGGGCTCGATTACATGGCCGCCTTCTTTCACCGCTGGCTGCAGGAGCCTGGACGCGTCGTCTTCATCGCCCGGATCGACGGCAGAGTGGTGAGGCGTGAAGGCGAGCCCTGAGGAAGCAGACCGCAGTTTTCATTTCACGGCTCTGTTTTTCTACACTGAGCTGCATTCTCCATCTCCCTGCAGGTGGCGCTGGAGTCTGCGCTCCTGGTGGATGGCGGTCAGACGGCAGTACTTCAGGGGCGCAGGGTGGTGTCCGATCTGAGGGGCAGCGGCATCGCCAGCGCCCTCCAGACGCATGTGACCAACTACGTCCGCCGCTACTACCCAGAAATCTCTGCTGTGAGGCTGAGCCGAGGAGACAATCCTTCAGTGAAGACGCTCGCCAAGTACAGGCTCATCGCAAAGGAGGTGTGTCACAGTCCACCGGTTTGTGATTGTGACCAAAGTTGGTGATAATTCTTCATCACAGCGACGTCGCGCAGCTGTTTGCAGAAGCTGATGCGTCTGTTCGAGCGGCGCCGTTCCCTTTATTCTGACCGCGCTGTGCAGAAATGCCGCGTCCTCCTGAAGCACGTAGACTTTCAGTTCATGAACGTCGTGGTTGAGAAGTAAAGATAATGTGTCGATATTCATAGGAAATGAATCAAAGGGTTTTTAAAAATAAATAACGACTTGAATTAATTTATAATTACTCTCCTGTTAGGACTGCAGGACCGGCACAGTGTCATCACACTGACGTTTGGTCAGAGATCACCGCTGGCTTCTAGTTATTGCAAGGTGGCCTTTGTTGTCGTGGTTACCGTGATGCTGCAGACACATCCTAAGACTGAGCGTGCTCTGAGCACTTACAGTTGAAGAGTCCGCCTGGTTTTTCCAGCCTGGACTGTAAACGATCCCTCCGTGTCCACTGAATGGAAACTACAGATGTGCGGTTCTTAGTTTGGCCTCAGACTCGTGACGGGGGTGAAGAGCACACATGCCACGTGATTGGATGATGGACTGGATCACAGCATGAATAGTTCGGTTGCATGTTGTGACCAAGCCTGAACTTGGACTTGTTTCCCGAGTGACTGCAATGAGTCGAACCAGAACAGGTAAGTAAACCACAGACTCACCCCGTCCTCTCTGTCGCCCCCTGCAGGCCATCTTGTCTTTGTGCTGTGAGGCGGTCAACCTGGGCTCCTTCATCACTGAGCTTCGATCCAAACATCCGCTCCACGCCGACTCCTCCTGTGGTCCGGTCACGCTGAGCTGGCGGCAGGCTGAGACGCTGGTCCTGTCCGACCACGTGGTTTCCAACCTGCTGCCCAGCAAAACCATCATCAACGACTGGGAGCCCTTGAAGCCGGTGGAGGCCAACCTAGAGGTGCTGCAGCGCAGAGGCCTAACGTGGATCGTAGACCGTGAGTTCGAGCCCGCTGCCCTCAGTCTGGGCACGCCACCGTATGCCGTACCCTACCGCCACAATGCCATGCGCCTCAACATCAACATCTTTGGCCGCAGTCTGACATCGGTGTGCGCCGTGTTTCTGGCACAACTGGAAGCTTTCCTGCCGAGTCTTAAAGGTTACCTGGTCTGCCACACCTACGTGGATCCTGGGCTGTGGGCGGGCTTACGTCAGTTCTGTCAGAACGATGCAAACGTGTCATTTTTTAAGGACTACTGGGAGGAAGTCATACTGGAGACAGACCTCTGACTGGCCTCGGCGTGACAGCTTGAATGCTGGCGGATATTTTGACCTCTGCCAGGATTCCTTCAAACACTTCCAAACCTTTTGTCCTGGATTCCCAGGATCCCGTGAGGTTCCACATGCAGGTTTAATTAAATGTTATAAGTTTGTTTAGAAGCACTAGTGTGAGTTTTAACAATTCAATAGGAAATCATCATCGTCACTCAGAGGTAACCGCTAGCAGCTGAGAGAACCTCGGTTCTAGGTCAGCTGCTAGAGGTTGTTGTGGAGTTTCAGCACGTTTCAGATATTTTCCATTCTTCCAAACGTTCATAAGTCACGTGTGACAATCGGGAAGGTTTCTCTGTTCTTGGAGGATTGAATTGGCTTTGTGAGGACTGTCTTCATCCTTGAATGGTTAACAGCGGTGCCTCAAATGGCTCCTCGCACTGACGCGTACCTACGAGAAGAGTTTTCTCTGCTAAACAAAGCTTCGTGTTTAAATCTAAGACACCGTCTGACGGACATAAAGTGATTTTTACTGTCTGCGTGTGACAGACGCAGCAGTGTTGACAGGCTTGTCTTTGTGTGGAAGATAAGGTTTGTTTATGATCTCATGTGATGCACCTTTACCTGACACACACCTTTATGTTCACCTGCTGACCCACGCATGAAACGTTCTTAAAATTCTGACTGTCGATATGTAATCACCAGGTTGTTGCTGCTTGAATATAAATAAAATCAGATATTTGAATCTTGATCTGGCTCTGTGGTCTTTCTGAGTGCCTCGCCCTGTAAATCCACCGAATCAGGCGGGAAACCCATCAGCTGACCTCGCCTCTGGGGGCAAAGGTCAGTTTCTGGAATCGTCCGAGTGAAGTGAGAAGATATTTCTGTTTCTGTCCTCCAGCCACTTTTGACACATGCACACTTTACAAGGTGAAGTAAAAGCTAAATGTTTGTCGATTGAGTCTCGATGTTCCTGCAGGGAGCCAAAGACGGCTCGGACTGGACGGAAACGACAAACCTTCAGATTCCCAGAATCACACTGTTCTTTCCCACATTATAAAAACCTTTCAGACGCTGTGTTGGATTTCTGCAGCGTTATCGGAGAGCTTTAAAGGTGGTGAACTTTGAGTGTGGGCTTCTTTGTGCTTCTTGGATTGTGGTGTGTGTTTTTGTGTTTCCCTGGTGTCCACTGTGGAGTTTACTCGGTGTTGTGAAGGTTCCTGTTTGGGTTCTGACCGAGTAGAAAAGTCCAGAAAAGCATCATGTTGTAATCAGCCACACCTGCCACTCATTAGAGATCACAGAGGAGTCGCCCCCTGATGGACAGAAGAGGCAATGCAGGTTTAAGGAGCTCTGTCCATCTTTGTTTACAGTCTGTGGTTTAGTACTTTGGCTATTTCAGTGTGTTTCAGGCTCTTTCTGTGTTTCTGCATCTAAATGAAGTTGATAGTTGGACGTCTGGATTTTTTCATAGTATCTGTCTATCCTTGTGTATAATTTAATTTTTTCACTGTGATTGGTCCTAAATTTGAGGTCATCTGCTTTGTTTTTTATGGTTTTTCATGTAAATGAAGTAGATTTTTAGTCATTTTGAAGTTTTGTGGTGTGGTTTCTGGTATCTGTGTCTCAGTAATGATTTTGGATCATGAGGCGTTGCTTCCAAAGGCCAGGACGACTTTTGTTTGTGCTTACTGTGACCTTTGAGCCCGAAGTTTTCACAGCTGCTCTAACCACAAACAGCTTAACAGACGTTTTACTGCTGCCAGAGTGCTGACTGCAGCATTGTGTGATTTATGTACCAGTGAAGCTTCCACAGTGTCACGCACACAGTCACTAACAGGCAGTGGCGTTTGACCTCTGACCTCCTGTGATTAATGAGTGATGGAAAGTGACACTAACATGGACTCTTGGGATTCCTGTTAAGCTACAAAGTCAGCAGCTGGAAGGATCCGCCTCCCGCTCCAGCTGAGTGAAGTCAGAAAACGACAGGGGATTTCGGCCTTCAAAATAAAAGCCTCACGTTTAGTTTTTGAGAAAAGAATCAGTAAATGCCTTTGTGTAGGCTGAGAATTAAAAATAAAGATGAACATGAGCTTCTGACAGTTTTCACTGCAGCAAAATAAAAACACAGCAACTTTTTTTAAACAACAATTTATTAATTGAATAAATTAAAGCGCATCAGGAAAATAAAGCTGAAGACGAACGTTCACTTCAGAGGAGAGGCAGGCTCTGCTCCCCCACCAATCAGCGGTCAAACGTTTGGATCAATAGGATCAGGTGTGACAGAGCACCTGTGCTGCGAACCCACGCACAGATCCATAAATATTACAGATCAATGATTAAAAACGTAAGACGTGGCTCGTAAAAGGCTGAGATGAACTCAATTACCCTTTTCTGATTGACTTACCCGGATGACTGAGCACACACCACGACACAGTGACTGTTATTGATGACTGATCATCGAGGGTAAACATGAAGAAAATCTGTGATTTTTCAACATAAATGAAAACTTTAGCGTTATGACGTCACATACATGAGGGACAGGAAGCGTTTGATGGTCCGGGGTCTCCTCCTGCTGGACCCAGGACCGAACCGGAAACCAAACACTGACGGGCTTTTATTTTGTAAAGAGGAAATGCGGTGTTTTATTGCGGAGCGCTTCACAGCAGCTCCCTCACGAGGCGGGATCAGCTGGTGGGAACTGAGTCACCACTTCCCGGAGAGCAGCACCGACAGAAGCTCACGCCGCCGATCAGCTCTGATACCGAGAGCCTCACCTGAGCGCGAGCCCGCGGCTGAACAGGTAAGGGTGTTTGGACACCTGAGCGGAGTCTGTGCGCGGGACCGTGATCTGCTCCGGAGTAAAAATATTCCGTTACCTCGGGATCATCAGCGGGAAACACACGATGGTTACCACGGTTACGCCTCCATGACTCACAGACTGCGCGTGCGCACTAACTAAGACCCCTTTAACGTCTGATTAGTTGCGCGAGGAAAAGTCGGTGCACATCTTTATGACGTAGCAGATGTTACAGCTGTGGTAAATCTGCGCAGCTGCTTAATGTTCGGTTATTCGACTCACCAGCAGTCGGATACAAACTGATCTGACCCCGTGCCTCAGCCTGTAAACATGTTTGTTTCTGCCTGACTCGCTGCTGCCCCTGCGGCACAGCAGAGGAACTGCAGGGGGACCGCCCACTCCGATTTCAGACACGTCCTGAAATAACGTGGAAATCCCCCCCAATCAGATCAGACCCGCCCCTCCCTCTGAGCCACTCACACCTGCTGCCACTTTCAGTTAATCCGCCTTCTTCACCGCACTTCCTGTCAGCGCGCCGCTGCCTCTGTTTGCTGCTCTTATCGATTCCTGGGGTCACATGACTCATGGTGCTCTGCACATCACAAACATCTCTGTTTGCTGCATGAGCTAAACATCACACAGGAAGTTCATCACCCCGCCTATGCCCTAGCCCACAGGAGGGCGGCGAAACTGTGACCTCACCGAGCGACCTGCAGGCGAGGGTTAAACTTTAAGAGCACCGTCCTCATGCTGACTGATTGTGTGTGTGTGTCTGGCTCAGAGCAGCCTGTGAACATCGTATACGTCAGGTTTCATCGTCAGCTGCTAGGAGTACGTAATGCGTTAGTCTTTGCAGACTCACAGGTGTGATCCAGGCGCAGCGCCGCAGTTCGCCCGTACCTGCAGGAAACCATCATTCAAATGAAACATGTGTCTCACTGTGTTGTTCTTCCTCTGTCTGACAGACTCTCGTCCTCAGAGCGAGTCCACGGTTGCGGTCCGGTCCAGAGAGCTGACATGGCTGTCGCAGGCGGAGCATCCTCCTCTGTCCTCGTGTCTTCAGCAAAGGAAACGGCGGCGCTGAAGGTGAACCCGGCTGACGTCCCTGCCCTGGAGATCAAACTAGGAGCGCTGGCGGTCCTGCTGTCAGTCACGCTGCTGTTCGGATTTGCCCCGCTCTGCATCGTCCGAGGGGCGGGGCGCTTCAGCGTGCAGCCAGGTAAACTGAGCAGATAAACGTTTCCAACATCGGTTTCTGTGTGAGGAGGTCAGAATGTCAGAAAGAAAATATTTGGACTGGGTGGCTGAAATCAGCCGTGCTCATGCTGGCTTTGCATGGACAATTCTTCTTTTGAGCATGGTGTTCTGCAGGTCAGAAACACGCTCCTCCCACTTTCAGCCAACGGTTTTCCAATTGGCCATGCCTCCTAAAGGCAGGTGGGTGGGGCTTCACATGCTCTGGTAGTAAAATACATGAGAGGAAGTGGGGAGACGCAGGATAACGGGTTTAGGTTTAGATCCCGCTGAGCCCGAAGCCACGCTCGGAGCTCCAGGATTAGTCTGCAGTGTTTTCATCTCACAGCTTTCAGGAGTCTGACTTTCTGTTTGCTTTCAGTTTCAACCTCTGGCTCTGCAGCAGTGCGATTGACCCGTGATTGATCCGTGCGATTGATTCGTGCGATTGACCCGTGCGATTGATCCGTGCGATTGACCCGTGATTGATCCGTGCGATTGATTCGTGCGATTGACCCGTGATTGACCCGTGCGATTGATCCGTGCGATTGATTCGTGCGATTGACCCGTGTGATTGATCCGTGCGATTGATCCGTGCGATTGATCCGTGTGATTGACCCGTGTGATTGACCCGTGCGATTGATCCGTGCGATTGATCCGTGCGATTGACCCGTGATTGATTCGTGCGATTGACCCGTGTGATTGACCCGTGTGATTGACCCGTGCGATTGATCCGTGCGATTGACCCGTGCT